TGAATAAATGTTGTGTAGAGTTGCTAGTTTACGAGATACAGCGTGAAAACCCTTTGCAACTTTTCCCAGAAGGCGGCCGGGGGACAAGAATGGCGACTCCACAAACTTGAACTAAGCTCATTATTACCCCCAACACATCAAAAATATAAAAATGCAACCCTAATTTAACTTTTCAATGGACTACAAGTAAGGAGTAGTGTGTGTGGCATCATTTACGTTTCCCTGTGAATTATTACAAACTACAGTTGGTTATTGTTTGAGTTTAACGATCATTTTTATATCAGTTTAAACATAAGAATTTTCTATTGCCAGTGGTGTTTTTATTTCGTCATAAAGTGCATCAGAGATCCCGTATTTTGGATTATCTACAGATTGCAAGGTCAGTCTTTTTATTTTGTTTATATCTATTTACGGCGATTCACTCCCACTGCTGCTCTGCTGTTCCCACCATGTCGACCTGCGCTAACTGTTCAAAGTCAATCGATGATCGAGAATCATCAAAACAACTTCAATGTGAAGCATGTAAACAGAACATACATTTAGCTTGCACTGATCTACGAGCCGAAGATCGCGTTACTAGGCATAAGCTACGCGGAATTAAAATTCTTTGCAACAACTGCTGCTCTAATATCGAAAACTTTGCTAATTTAAAGACGCTCTTAAAAGATCTAAAAGAGAATTTTCAATCAAAAATTGATCTAATAGACCAAAAAGCTAATGATATCAGTGAAAGACTTTTACAGATCGAAAACAAGTTATCTATTGCGGATCATTCTTCATCTCCAAAATTTACAGATACCATAGCAAATGAAGCAGTTGATCGCATTAACCGGGCTAAGAATATTTTTGTTAGGGGTGTACCCGAAATTACAGGAGACATTGAAACAAAGAAAAGTCATGATGATGGAATATTAAAAAATATTTTAGATACTGTAATGTCCAACTCCACTCCTGTCACATTTTTCAGGACTGGAAAACCAAACAATCGCTTCCCTAGGATGATAAAGGTCATTATGCAAAATGAACATGAAGCCAAACATATTTTGAAGAACAAAAAGAAACTTTTACAAAACGTCTCTTTAAAAAACGTTTCCATTATCGACGATAAGACTCCAAATCAAATAGAATGCCTAAAAGAACTTCGAGTGGAACTGGAACAGAGAAAATCGAATGGAGAGGAAAATTTAACCATAAAATATATACAAGGTGTCCCGAAAATTGTAAACTTTCGTCACTAATTCTGATATTTCAGGTTTTCATAATTGGCTCTGTTTCTATACTAATCTAGCTACTTTAAATTCCAAATTTAATGAATTTTTATGCAACATTCAAAACCTAAATCCTCAAATAATTCTTATCACTGAAACATGGTTAACACCAAATGATCCTGACTCCCTTTATAACATTGATAATTATTCCCTTTATAGGTGTGATCGTCGTAATCGGCGTGGAGGAGGAACTTGTATCTACTTGTCTTCAGAAATTACTAATAATTTCTCTGTTACATCTCTTGATATTACTGTCCCTAATATGGAACTTCTTGGCTTAAAAATATGTCATAAAAACTCTTTTGTTTTTCACCTAGTATGCGTTTATCGGCCTGGTGATTCTAGATTAGCAGATGATGAGTCCCTTATCGCATCACTTGATGAACTGTCTAGGCTAGAGAATTTAATTGTTATTGGAGACTTTAATTTTAGAGACATTTCGTGGCCTATAACTGATCCACCTAGTGGCTTAACAACTTCCAAAAACGCATTTACAGATTTTGTACTAAATTCTAATTTACATCAATTCATAACGGAGCCGACTTGTTTCAGAATCAATAATTTACCATCTATTTTGGACTTGGTATTCTCTAATGATCCCCATTTATTAACACATCCCCAAATAAGTTCTCCAGTAGGTAACTCAGATCATGCAGTCATAACGTTTCATATTCAGTTTAACTTACAGTACTGTACTCCTAATCCTAATGTTAATAAAACGGTATATGAAATAATTAATTTTGAAAATGCAAATCGCCAACTGGCTGACATTGATTGGAATGATGTTTTCGGCGACATAAGAAATCCAGTTGTATTCTGGGATAAGTTCCTACAGGTTGTTAATTTATGCAAAAATCAAAATACCCTCAAAAAAACCATATACAAAAATAACATAAAACCTTGGATTAATGGGGAATTAATATATCTGATCAAGTATAAAAGAAAGTTGTGGAACAAATATAGACGTACAAATCGCATAGAGGATTTACAAATTCATCGAGACTTTGCCAGAGATTTAAAGAAATCTTTACATGAAGCTCGTGTTGCCTACGAAGAGAGTATAGCCATCAGTAATAACTGTAAAAAATTGCACAAGTATATTAGATCTTCGTTGACAACGAAAGTTTCTATACCTTTACTGGAAAATGATAATGGGGATATATCCCAAAATAACTATGAGAATGCCGAACTTCTCGCCAGTACTTTCTCCAAGGTTTTCTCTGTTGAACCCACTAATTATCAGTTCCCTAATATTACTTCGTCACGAGTTTCTTGTTCTCTTGAAAATATAATCATTACTCCTGAAAAAGTTAAACATCATCTTCAAAGCCTAAAAAATAATTCGTCTCCTGGTCTCGACTTAATATCTTCTTTATTTTTAAAGAAATGTTCTGATGCTTTAGCTTATCCACTATATGTGATTATGTCCCTATCATTCACCACACATATTTTGCCTCCTATATGGAAAACCGCATCTGTAACACCGATCTTTAAAAAAGGGAACAAACTGGATCCTAATAACTATCGTCCTATCAGCTTAACACCTATAATATCTAAGATAATGGAAACTATTATTGCCGAGACAATTTCTGATTTTCTGCAAAATGAACTGGTTATACCAGAACAGCAGCATGGTTTTGTCAAAGGACGTTCTACAATGACAAATCTTCTCTGGTGTGTCAATGAATGGTCAAGAGCATTAGACAGAAAAGCCCCGGTGGACATTATATACCTCGATTTTGCTAAAGCTTTCGATAGAGTTCCAAAACGAAGACTACTACATAAATTGGAACACCTTGGTATCCGTGGTCAACTACTGAAATGGATCGACGCGTATTTAACAGATAGAAAATTTTGTGTTAGAGTTGGGGACTCTTTCTCAGTTGAGAGAACGGTTTTAAGTGGGGTACCGCAAGGATCAGTTTTGGGCCCACTCTTATTCATAGCATACTCAAGTGATCTACAATTTCATATTAAATGCAACAATGCTTTCTATGCAGATGACACGAAGCTATTTTCCGATCCCTCCGTAAATTTCCAGTTACTACAAGATGACCTTGATTGCATATCGGAATGGTGCTCTACCTGGATGCTGCCTCTTAATGTGGAAAAATGTGTAGTTCTTCACATGGGTAAAAATAATCCGTGTCTTCCTTACTCTATTAATGGGCGCGTGTTAAAAACAGTGAAATCGCATAATGATCTAGGCGTTATAATTAATAACAATCTAAGTTGGTGGGAACACATTTTGCATATTTCTAAAAAAGCTAACAGTAAATTATATCTACTAAATAAAACGTTTGCGAAAATGTCATTTATGAGCTCAATTCATCTGTATAAACTGTACATTCGTCCAGTTCTGGAATATTGCGGAACTGTTTGGTGTCCAGTATTAGTGCGCGATCGTAATATTCTCGAAAACGTACAGCGGCAGTGCACCAGGATGTCATTTGGTCGCTCAAGACCTACGTATACAGAAAGACTGAATATGGCCAATCTCACTACATTTGAACAACGTCGACTTCGAGGCGACTTAATTATTACGTTTCGGATAGTAAAATACAACTTTGGAAATTTGGGGAATATGTTCATAATAGACAATGACAATCGTCTTCGTGGCCACAAACTTAAGTTTAAAAAGGAAACTTTTTTAACAACAACCAGACAATTTTTTCTCTGTAATCGAGTGTTCTCGATATGGAATAGCCTTCCGGCTGAGATCATAGATGCTCCATCTGTCAATATTTTCAAAAATAAACTGGATGACCTTTTGTTCCATAGTTGAACATTTAATTTGTACTAAACACTTGCTATTACCTATGTTATTGTATATTCATTTAGTTAGTTAGTGCTTAATATGTAACGACTGTAATGTAACAATTTAATTGTACACTATATAACATTGTAGTCACATGGGCATATGGGTTTTGCAACCCCTGCTCAAATCTATTGTAAATAATAATAATAATAATAATAAATTCAGGCTATAGAAACAAATTGTTAAATTTTTTCGAAAACGTAATTTTCTCTTTGATAAACTTTGTTAATACATAAAAGACTTTTTGTTAAAGTAAACCAATTTCCTTTAACTCAGATTAATTTCACTAAAAGCTTGTGAAACGTGCGTTATCACCCAATCAAATATATTAAAAGTATTGCTTCATTTTATATCACTTGCTTGTGATCAAGCTAATTGCCTACATTAAAGCCCTTTACGGAAGAGCAATGTTTGTTCTAAAACATTATTAAAGTCGGACGAATGTTTGCTCTAAAACGTTATTAAAGTTGGGAGTGTCATTGCTATTCGAGTGTAATAAAATAGTCAAACATTTACGGTGGATCACTAACATTATCATGGATTATGACAATACCGGTAGTATAGTTAATCTTCCATATAGATTATTGCTCTCGAAATAATCTACTGTAATCATGAATTAGGTTTTAATATCATCAATAATTTGTTTTTCTATTTCTACAATATATCTTAACATTTTTTAAATACTTGATTGTAGAATGTACTCGATTTAATAAATAAAAACGCCTGTTAATCTTTCTATATTAGATAAGCTCTAGAATGCTATTTTTGTCGATATACAACACACAATTTGGTCAAACAACAAGCACATGACACTCCCTAAACCCCTGTCAAAAAAACTAACATGCCACCACTTGTGATCCGAATCTTTATAGCAAACGCTGTCAATTTAACTTGTTCGGTTTGTTATTTTCCAGAGTGAGGACTACATATCAATACGAGTGGGAGCAGCTATGATGAACGACGACACTTTGGGAGCTCTCCTTATCGGGGGAAGGGCTCCTGCTGCTATCCCAGTCATCGAAAACTCTGCGCCTTCCTCGTCGAAGGTATGATTTCGATTAAGTAGTTTTTTTTGTTTGGTAGTTGTTTTGATTTTATTGTAGAGTAGAAGAATAAAGCATGTGGTTTTTATAAAAGAAAAACAAAATGTATTAGTATTATGAACGGGAGCTTCTTTTGTTGGTTTGTAAATAAAATGCTTAAAATATTTTTTACAAAGTTGTGATAAAGCAGTAATAAAAACTGTAATTTTTATGACATTACTAATTTGAAATATGAAATATACAAATCGTTGTATTATACCCTTTCTTTACCAGCGACGTATATATACGGGTTGGGGAAAAGTGACACTGTTCCCAGTGACGTATATATACGTTCTTGAGTGAAAACGTTTTTAATACCACACCGTTTGTATACGGCATCAAATTTTTTTTGCACCTCTGCCAACCCCATTGCCGCATCTATCTGGCATTGTTACAGTGCCATGAGCACAATCCCGTATTGGTACGTCCGAACATGCATTGTGATGAACCCACTACCGTACTGATACGGCAGCTTCTGATACATGGCGTTTCGATAACTGCCGGGTATGGTCGGGTTTTTGGTCTATTTTTACCATGCGTCTTGTACCGCAAACATCACGTTGGCACGGACTACGACTACACAGTATTCTGCTGTTACTGTTGCAGTGCAAATGTATTGTGAAATTTCAAGAAAATGTCTGATTTCAGAAAAAGAAGGCGCTCATGCGATATAGGTTGTTTGTGTGGACTAACGCAAAAAGAATATGATGATATACTGGCATGCTTGGATTCCGATGAAGAGCCTTTTGTAGAAAGTGAAAGCGATTATGTACCAGATAGCGATGATTTAGAAGAGGAGGTGATTGTTAATATTATTTATGGGAATGATGAAGCAATTTCTGAAAATGAAGGTGCTGATAAGGACGAAGCCAAAGTTGTGGTTGCAAATACATCGAGAAATGTAAGCAAAAGAGCTTTAGCGGTTGATTTAAGTATACAGTGGGATAAACAGCAATTTGTTCCTGTCGTGTACGATGACAAATGGGCACCTGAGTTTGATGACACAAATTCAGGTGCCCATTTAGACAATATTGAGAATCCTACGAGGGAAATAGATAATTTTGTTTCCTTTCTAAATCCAGGTACCGTTAATTTAATTATACATGACACAAATAATTTTGCTGCAGCGGAAGTTTGCAAAAATAAAAAGATTGCTTGGTCGCCACTTACAGAAAATGAATTTTTTACATTATCGCTATGCTATTACACGCAGCACGCCATAGAAAAGCCAAACTTACAGAAAATTGGTCAACAAACGATTTGTTATATACACCCATATTTTCTAGTGTAATGTCTTGGAATCGCTTTCAATCTATACTGAGAATGTTACACTTCGCTAAAAATGCTGATCAACCTCAAGCGGATTCTTATTACAAGGAGCGAGGCGTTTTTTTTGCAGGTAAAAAACTCATTTGCTAATAATTTTACACCATTCCAAAATCTGGTAATCGACGAAAGTTTGGTTCTATTCAAAGGACTGCAGCAGTTTAAACAGTTTATAAGAATCAAACACCATCGATTAGGAATAAAATTGTTTCTTCTGTGTGACTGTGAAACGGGTTGTGCGTTAGACTTTATCGTTTATGTAGGTGAAAACACCGAAATAAATCATGTGGATATCGGCCTCTTAGGATCTGTGGTTGCCACTCTTATGAAACCCTACTTGGACAAAGATCACTCGCTCTTTATTGATAACTGGTAGACGCCTCCTAGTTTGTCAAGTTACCTATTTGACCGCAAAACTAACTCTTGTGGAACAGTCATGTCAACAGAAAACACATGCCTAGTTTAGCAGAAAAACTACCAAAAGGTGCAACTTCCTCAATGTCGAGTTGCAATATGTTGGCACTAAAATGGAAGGATCGAAGAGAGGTCACTATGCTTACTACCATGCACCAAGACAAAATGGTAGAATTGCCTAAAAAAGACAGAAAGACAAACGAATTCATTAAAAAACCAGCTTGTGTAATAGATTACAATATGAATATGGGAGCAGTGGACAGGACTGACATGTTACTAAGTTCCACAGAAAACGTCAGAAAAACCGTCAAATAAAAAATTCTTCTTTCACATATTGGACCTTTCTATTCTAAATGCACATGCAATATACCTTACACAACACCCGGAGAAAACACCATTGGCCCAGTTTCACTTAAGGCACCAATCTTATTCGTCAGCTTCTAGACAGGTATGTGGATCTAATCTTGAAATTATCTTATCTAATTAGATGATATTTTTAGGTATCATTTACCAAAACATAAACTGTAATGCCTGTTCGAAACGTTTTTCGTTTTGTAGGTAGACATTTTCCTGATATTGTCCCTAACAACAAAGTTCGTAGACGCACTGTTTGCTCAACAACAAAGACTCAACTAAAAAAAAAATGCGAATCAAGGTAAATGTATCGGGAATGTGACGTGGGTCTCTGCGCACATCCTTGCTTTGGCATTTACCATACCCAGGAATAATTCTAATAACTACTTTCGTATTCATTTCATATTTAGTTTATAGTTAGTTATTAAAAATGCTTATATTTTTTTGAACATTAAAGAGCATTTTCTGAGTTTTTCTTTGCATTTAATGAGCAAACGTATATATACGTCGCTGGTACTGCTGGCACTTCAAAAACCCTGGGGACGGTGGCACTGTGTCGCTGATCAGGTCTGGTAAAGAAAAGGTTAAGTGTGTTGAGCGGAAGGAAACTTCTTTGTCTTCTTCTTTGTGTGGCATGCTTGTTTCCAAGCGTTAGCTATCGTCAAGTTAAAAAACTGCTGGAATGTTTCGATCATTAGCTACATGAAACAATTTCTCAACTGTTCGATCTTTCTAATATCTAACGTTATCCAGCAATGACACATATTTTTGTTCAACCCAGTGTTTTCCTTCTATTTTGTCGGTTAACCCATTAATGCCCAAAATTAAATTTTTATCAAAACGAAATCACAACTTTAGAATGAAATACAGAGGTTTTTTTTAATAGCGATGTGCAAAATTTACGTTTTTAAAAAAAAACACAGAAGTTTAAACACTTCACAATTGTGTATTTTGGTATAAAAACATACAAGTACTTAAAAACTTGAACCAACACATGGAAGTCTTATAGACACCATATTGTTAGCACCAAATACCAAAGGCACTGAAGATGATCTTTACAGATTGAAAACGTTCTGCCATAATTTTAAATGTTGACGACACTTTTTTAAAAAAAGTTTTTAAGTACTTGTATGTTTTGATACCAAAATACACAATTGTGAAGTGTTTTAACTTCTGTGTTTTTTTAAACGATGGTATACAGCCAATTACGGGGTTTTTCCCATTAATTTTGTATTAAGTTTTTTTCTTTGTAACTGTCTTTTTTTTTGACGTATGATATATCATACGCTGGGCAATGAAGGGCACAATATTTCTTCTTCTTCTTCAGGTGCCATCTCCGCTACGGAGGTTGGCAATCATCATAGCTATCTTAATTTTTGAGGCAGTAGCTCTAAATAGTTGTTTTAAGCTGCATCCAAACCATTCTCTCAGGTTCTTCAGCCATGAAATTCGTCTTCTTCCGATGCTTCTTCTGCCATCTATTTTTCCTTGCATTATGAGTCGCAGGATGCCATACTTATCGCCCCGCATCACATGTCCTAGATACTGTAGCTTTCTTTCTTTAATTGTAAGTTCAATTTCCTTCTCTTTGCCTATTCTTCTCAGTATTTCATTGTTTGTAACTCTATCTACCCAGGAAACCCTCATAATTCTTCTATAGGTCCACATTTCAAAGGCGTTAAGTCGTCTCATAGTATCTAGATTTAACGTCCATGATTTCACTCCATAATATAGTACACTGTATACGTAACATTTTGTTAGGCGTACTTTAAGAGCTAATGTTAGATCTTTGCCACATAGGACCTTTTTCATTTTTATAAAATTAGAACGTGCTTTTTCGATTCTGACTTTGATTTCTGCCGTGTAGTCATTATTTTCTGTTATAAGTGTTCCTAGGTAAGTGTACTTTTTTACTCTTTCAATCTGCTGGCCCTCTACTATCAAGATTTCGTTAGTATTATAGTTGTTTTTACAAATTTTCATAAACTTCGTCTTTTTGACATTAAGAGAGAGTCCGTACTCCCTACTACACATGACTATTTTGCTCATGAGTCTTTCCAGGTCTTGTAAACTATCGGTCCAGGTCTTGGTATACCAGGTTTTGTATACAATATTTCATAAAACATTATTTATTTTAAAATTGTTGCGTGTGATATTTGATAAAACATTGCTCGGGATGAAGTTCTACATTAAATTTAATGCATCGATATTTGGTACACTTGCCACATATGTCGCACCTTCGTTGTATTTCAATTTTGTTCACCAAATGACCCATATTACCCAAACGAATTTGGTCAGAAACATGTTTTGAATATTATGGACGTACTCCACGTGGCGTTGTAATATCTGGAGCTACCAACAGGGCCTCCACAATTCGCCTGTAAAATTCTAATAAAGAAGTTGAAATCTAATAATAAAAAAGAAAGTCCACACCACCCATGCCCTTGTTATACATTTGCACAAAGTTTGGTTGATTATAATTTTTCTGTCTTTTCTGGACCATCTGTTATAGTTTCCTCTACTAAATATTTCTGGAGTTGAAATATTAGTTGCCATAGTAACTTCATTGTTCCAGCAAACAAGAGTGAGGTGATCTTCTTCGCTCTGTAGAGCGTAAGAAGTTTCACGAATTTGTTTGTTTATTTCTTTGAGTGGTGCTCTTTCAATACTGTCTTTTCTAATTGTTCCGATACAGTATATCTTTTGATCTTTCAACTTTGTCAGTAAAGATGTAAAAAAATTATCAATATAGATAACAGATTCTTGTGGTAAAAACCCTGTACACAGTTTTTTGGTTACGAAACTTCCCAACGAGTTACCCTGTAATTTATTTTCACTTCCAGTATAGAGATGAAATTTTGCAAGGTATT